TGCATGCATTTCACTGCATTTGATTGGTGTCGAGCCTATGATCTCAATGCTTAACATGTGATCATCACATGAAAGATATGATGGCATTCACGTGACTCTCAACTCACTCTCCAATCACTCACTTTAACTCTCAATACGATTATTACGTGACATCACTTGAAGTGATACTTGTATTCAATGCATTGATTGTCAAATCTGAGCCCTTAGATGCATACAAAGGGGCCGTTCATTATGTAATGTCATGTTATTTATGAATGAATGATAATGTGTTGAAATTGTATGCAAAGAATATTGAATGAGAAGTGAATTGTAAATTCATTGAACACCTCTTTTCAATGAAACACTAAACTTATGCACGAATTATGCCTACAGTATTATTGACGTAAAAAGTAGTGATATTAATGTTAATATTCATTTCATGAAGTTTAAAAGAAGCTCAAAAGTTTCAGCCACTTTACATAGTTAAAATTCCAACAATTTTGTATTACAAAATTAAAATGTTGTTAACTTTGTAAAATAAATAATCATTGTATGTAGAATTGTAACTTACAATTTGTAAGTTATCCATTATTTGGAAACTCCTAAAATTTCCATGTTTCCGGGACGGAATTTATAGGGAAACTCCGGAAAATGCATTAGAGAAATGGATAACAGGAGAAAATATTTTTAATGATGTTGCTTATTTCATTTTACGTATTAATTATAGATAAATTGTTTTAAAAGTATAAAAAATTATAAAAATAATCTTATTTAGCATGGTAGTCAATTACTTTTATAATGTTTTTGATGAATAACAAAGAATTGCTTGTCACTCATATAGCATTACCTCATCATTTGAGCGTAATTATTAAATTTTGATTAAAAAATAATTTACAAAATGATTTAAATTAAAATAATTAAAATAAATTTAAACAAATCTTCTTCTCTATTCTGTTTATGTATTTTATGGTACATGTAATAAATAAGATAAAAATATTTATATTCATTGCTTCCATTCATCCAAGTTTTTTGTCTTATTTTCCCAATATAAAGAATTTCCAGCGAAGAACTATTTTCTTGAAATATATTTTTCAAAAATGGGAAATGGATAACATTAATTATAACAAAACCGCGAACATCCAAAAAACATCGGTTTACTGTCTATACTTATTAAGCTGAATAAAGTGCTGCTATCTATATAAACATTGAGTAAAACAATATTCGTCTGCCTGTGTTTCAACTGTTTGACAATTAATGTTAACAACAGTTATATAGCATTACTTCAGTTATAGTCAACTCATTACAGGTTGTGATTAACACTACACTCTATGACTCATTAGAAAACACCGCCTTTTCATAGACCACACGAATGGCGGCCATCGATACGAACCCCTCGTCACAACTTTGGCACTCTTCTCAACCCTTTGCACCCCTTGTGTGGCATACGATCGATGGAAACCATTGGTCTGATTGAATAGCAAACTGTACTGAATGTGTGAGACATTGCAATGAATACAGTGTAGACCTGTTATCGCAAACTGTTTCCAATTCTACCGACAGTTTGCACTTCAAAATTGTGTTCACAAGTGTTTCTATTAATCAGTGTTTGACTGTATTTGCATTAAATAACATTCAGAGTGAGACAAACAGACAATAAGTGTACAAAATGTAAGTCAATATAAGTTTCACTTTTTTTGTTGATTGCATTGAAATGATTGAATCATTAATCGATTGATTGATTAGTGATTTGTGTGTAATATAACCGCTAATTGTGTTTACGTTAACCAATAGTAGACAACACTTGAGAGATGTCTTGGAATCGATTGAATCAAAACAATGGTAACACTCTATGGATGGGAGACGTAAGTGAAGCGATGTTTGGGTAACTGTTTGTGTGATAACTGTCTGAATGTCTGAATAGGTGGAGGAAGTGATGGACGAGCGCTTCATTAGGACTTCGTTTCATCTGATGAGCCAAAACCCAACACATGTCAAAGTGGTTCGCCATAAGACTGGGTATGTCTGCCACACATGTCTTAACCCGTTTGCAGTGATGTATAGTTGCAGTGATTGTATTGTCTTAACAGTCAGGCCATTGGATACGCTTTCATATCATTCGAGAGCCAAGAAATGGCGCTAAGAGTGCTCAGAGAACTGAATGGACAACAGATACCAAATGCGGTTCAAGTATGAGATAATTAAGCGTTGAAATGAATCAATTGATTGATGTATTTGTGTATTAAAGGGGAAGAGATTTCGCCTGAATTTGACGAGCAGTCGAGACCGAGAGGACAATGAGTTCTCCATATATGTGGGGGATCTGAGCCCAGAAGTGGATGACTTCACACTATTGAATGCCTTCTCCAAACACTATCCCTCGACCTGTTCTGCGAAAGGTATTTAT